AAGATAAAGTATAAATATTTATCATGCCTAATTTGTTACGAAAATATTCAATTAGGCTTCCATTCAAAGTTTTTGTGAATATATCACCTAATTGATCCCCAGTTTTTACATAATTAGTAGGAATCATGTTTTCCTGAAGCTTCTCACAAATGAAGTGAAAATCAAACTCACTTCCGCTAAGAGGTGTTGTATCTATAAGACTTTACATGTGGACAGGATTATAGCTCTGTATTCACACTTTGTACTAGATCGGGACACAACGGTCTGCTTCTTACTCATCCATGATATCAGGTTCCACCAACGAAAACACAATAACCTATTGTAAATCTTCTATCAATTTTAAATCCAACCCAATCAGTATTTACAAAGCATTCAATGTGAGTGTACTTATAATTGCTAAACAATATATCAAGTTCTGGAGCACCTTTTAGATAACACAAAATCTGTTCTAAAGCCTACCAATGTTTGACTATAAGGTGCAGACATAAATTGGCTAACAACACTGACAGGATATGCAATATCTAAACGAGTCATTGTGAGATAATTTAGTTTTCCAACTTATCGTCTGTACCTTTCCAAATCATCAAGGGGGTCACCATCATTTTTAGTAAAGTATATTTGGTACCATTAGTGTGGTATATGATTTAACTCTCAACTTTTCAGTTTTTGCAAATAGATCAAGTACATACTTCATCTGACACAAAAAACATTTTTCTTATTTCTTGTTACTTCTACTCCCAAGAAGTATTTTAACCGATTCAAGTTTTTGGTGTGAAACATGGTATGTAAGAATGATTTAAAAGAGTATATTCTTGTGCAGTCATCTCCTATAATGACAATATCATCAATATAGGTAACAAGAAATATAAGACAAGCTGTTAATTGTCTATAAAAGACCGAATGATCATATCTGCTCTTCTTCAACCCAAATTCTAAAACTACTTCACTAAATTTGTCAAATCACGCACAGAAAATCAGCTTCAAACTATACAAAGATTTCTTCAAATGACAGACTTTTTTATATTCCCCCTGAACAACAAACCCAGGTGATTGCTTCATATACACTTTTAAAAGATTGCCATGAAGGAATGTATTGTTGATATCCAACTAGTGTAAGGACCAAGTTTGAGATGCCGCAATAGAGATAAATAAATGGACAAATGTAAATTTGGCCACTAAAGAAAATGTATCAAAATAATCAATCTCATATGTCTGAGCATAGTCTTTGACTACAAGTATGCCTTTAAGTTTTGCTACTGAGCCATCTGGGTTTAGTTTGACTAAAAAGATCCATTTGTAATCCACGACCCTTTTTCATTTGAGTAAATTCACCAAATTCCAAATATGATTTTCATCGAAAATATTTATCTTCTCAAGTATTGCATTATGCTAACTAGAATGATTCAAAACTTCCTTAATTGTTTTGGATATAAAAATTGAATCTATAAAAGTAATAAAAGAGGTAATCAAGGGAGACAAATGGTCATACGAAAGATAATTAGCAATTGGATAAATTGTTTTAGGAGTGGTGCACTGACATTTACCTTTACGAAAACCAATTGGAAGATAAGATCCTGTGAGGTAAAATAAGATGACGATGAACCTAGTGCAAGATATGCATCATTAGTTTGTTATCTTCTAAAATAAATATGAACAATTAGTGGTGGTAGTTAGGCAGAAGCACACTAACACTATCATCAACTTACTCAGTTCAGCTAAAAGCATACCATCTGAAAAAAAACTATTATATGTTTACTCAGTAAAGGCACCTGGTGTGAAACTATAGATGAGTCACTTATCATCCGCCCCGTAACTTTTAGACTTGGACAATGAAGAGAAGAACGGTGTATTCTTTGAAAAAATCAAATCAGCTGATACAAATATTTATTGAGATTTAGAGAGTAGCAGCGGCATCTTTTCTGAAGGCGAGAATATCCTAAAAATACACATTTTAAGGTCTTTGGGTTCAATTTTGTCACACTAGATCACACATCTCGAACATAACAGGTGCTACCAAATATCTCAAATTGCACCGGAAACAAAGATTTGTTTGGAAAAAGAAAACTGTAATGAACATCTCCATCAAATACTATAGATGGCATACAATTAATCAAGAAACATATCGTGGAAACAGTATCAACCCATAATTGCTTAGGAACTTGCATTTGGAGCAAAAGGGTTCAAGCTGTCTCAAGTAAATACCTATTTTTTCTCTCAGCGACTCCATTTTGAGATGGTGCATCAACACACGAGAATTTGTGAAGGATCTCGGGTTGAGTCATATATTTCG